AAACAAGAGAGCATCCAAGAAAGTCCCAAGCATATATATTGCATATATATATATATATGAGTTGGAATCTCACTCTGCTGCCCAGGCTAGAGTGCAATGGCACATTCATGGCCACTCCAGTGTCAAACTACAGGTACGCACTACCATGCCCAGTCAATTTTTAAATTTTATTTTATTGTAGAGACAAGGTCTCATCAAGTTGCCTAGGCTGGTCTCGAACCCATGGGTTCAGGAAATCCACTCGCCTAGGCCTCCCAAAGTGCTGGGATGACAGGCTGAGCCACCGAGCTCAGCCTGCATCAATTTTTATTTCAAAAAATGCATTTTGATTTTTAAAGATGGGATAGATAACGCTTATTCTAATCTTTGCACTTTGGAATGGTGGCTGGTCAGAGTAGGGAGAGTCCTACGGTGGTCTCGGGGATGGGATTCCAAAATAAGAAATGAACCTGAAAATCAGTTCCCTCAAACAAGAGAGCATCCAAGAAAGTCTCAAGTAGGTGCTTTCTTTTCTTTTTTTTTTGAGTTGGAGTCTCACTCGGTCACCCAGACTGGAGTGCAGTGGCCGCTCCCGGCCACCGCAGCCTTGCCTGCTGGGCTCCAGTGGTCCTTCTGCCTCAGCCTTCTTAGTAGCTGGAACTACAGGCATGCGCTACCATGCCCGGCTGATTTTTTGATGTATTGTAGAGATGAGGTCTCGCTGCCCAGGCGGGTCTCGAACCCGCGGGCTCAGGCAATCCACTCACCTCAGCCTCCCAAAGGCGCGGGACTACAGGCTGAGCCACCGAGCCCGGCTTCAAGCAGGCACTTTCTAAGCCACGTGATTCACAACGTAAAAGCCTGAGATACAACCTTCAGAATTCCTAGTTAGAAATGGCCCCACTTTCTGCCCTGCCACAGTCCCCCTCGGTTGGCAAATGTTATTGAAGGACCTTATTCTGTCTCACTCTGAGTGCACTTAAGAGCGTGACTTACTCAGCTTTTGGGTGTCACTGTTTGTTTTCAAGTCACTTCTCCCACATTAACTAATTGCTGCCACTCAGGTCATTTTGACAGTGCACATGAGGAAAGGGATCAATAGACGGGTCCTTCTGTGTCTCTTTCTAGAACTGGGCGAGAGCAGAAGAGTCGAACGTTAGGATCTTAATGGACCAAGATCATTGTCTTCTCTTCCCTCTAAAAGGTTGTATAAAAGTAATTTTAGAATATTTTCCTCTACCAATTCCAAAACTCATTGAGAATATTAAAAGTGAATGCTTATTTTACCAGCTCATCCCTATTCCCTAGCTTGATATTTTCAAAACTTTTCCATCTTAGCCTGTCATTTCTGTTCCTCTGTTCAAGAAGTGAGGACAGCATTTTTATTTCTCAGATAATTTGATTTTAAGGAGATTGACTTTCTCTCACCTTTTACTCGGGCAGTCTCGGGAATGCTGGCATTCTACAATTTAATCAGAAACAAGTTGCGTCCTGCTTTAGACATAAAGTGTGAATTGTTGAGCCTCCAATATGTAACCCTGCAGGCCCATCAATGCCACTCGGGAGCCCAGAGGTCTGAATTTTAAAGCCACACTCTGAATGCCAGAGCGCCTTGCACTGCTGGGTATGTTTTTCTCCACAACCTCACTAAGGTGATCGTGGCATCTGATGGGGAAACACGCGGCAAAGCCACTTTCTGGGAAAACATACCTTGTTTTGATTGTACTGTAATTATATGATGGAACTTCCATGGATTTGAAGACATGATCACAGGGTTATGTTGTATACTTTAGATCTTACAATATTGCTTTACTGAGTGTCAAGCTATAATAGCCCTTAGCATTTTCTGTACACAGGAGGGATCGTTTCAGCGAGGTTACTTCCTGAGAGAGAAGAAGAAAAAGGACTTGACTATCCCCAGGACGGCAAGTGGCATGCGAGTCTGTGCGTTCATTCCCATTCCCTGAGCCCCCAGGTCCACAGAGGTCCTGCAGACGCCCCAGTTAGGGTTTGCACGCGCAACGTAGTCCATCACAGAAGGGAACCCCACACTCAGGGAATCAGGATTGTTTCTAGTGGACAGGAGGCACCTGTCTTTTGCTCCAGAGGGAGACATCTTTGTGGCACTGGGCCTTTTGTTCCAAGGGAAGGCATTCTCTCTCCATTCTAAGGCTTGTTTGAAAAGATACTCTGGACCAAAGGCTTTTACCTTCACTAGATGCACAGAAATGCTGGCAGTCCACTGAGAATTAACTCCCAAGAATGTCACCTTGATTCTATACAAGCAGTTGATCAGAAATATATCTGAGAGTCATTCTATTAAAGCTAAATGAACGAACAGCATCCGCTTTGTGTGAGGCAGGAATTCTATCCTGAGGTCACATCTGAAATCTTTCAACTTTGGGGCACACGTTTTTAAGCAAAATGCGGAAGAGAACGTCCACCGTGGAGCCAGAGTGGCTTGCCGTGGGTCAGAGTAGCTTTGGCTCTGGGCCGGGTGGTGCCCATGGGTCTGAGTCATGGGGGAAGGACCTCTGGACAAAAGGGCGGCGGAGTCATCATCCTGGCTCAGGAGGTGGAGTTGGTCCCCCAGCATCACGCCCGGGACATCAGATGCAGGAAGAGTCACTGTGACTTGAACCTCTGGCTCTGTCTGTGCACCTTGGCAAGGAGTTGAGTCCTGGCCATGTCACTTTAAGACGTTTCAGCCCAGTCAGCATGTAAATAAACCATTGTTTGGACCTGAGCTGGGCCAGGGGAGAGTGGATGACTGGCCAGCTCTTGTTTGCTTGTCCCAGGCCCAGGGGTCAAACTGTAGGCCTGACTTTATTCCTTTTATTAAGCTAAAATCCAGTAATTTCATGCCCACATAATGGTCATGCAAAACTTCCAGCCAGTGCCTGCAAATAATGCCACTGCTAAGTGCCTCCAGTCAGACAAAGGGAGATTTTTCGATCACTGGCTAGGCAGGACTGCACCCATTATCAGCTCTGAAGAAATTACAGAAGATGGACCTTCAGCCCTCAGCACCCCAAATAATTATGGGATCAAAAAATCTCTAAAGAATAAAGAATTGAGGCGGGTAACTAACACAGGTTAGACATAAATAAATTTCCTATAGATAGGTTCTAAGAGGCGTTCAAACATTTCTACTGCAGGCCAAGTGGCAACCTGTCCCACCCCTTGGCAAATCCAAAGAAAACTCAATCAGATAAAACTAGAACAGTATAATTTCAATTTGCAGGTTAGTATAATAATCACTAGAAATCCTTTGGAAACATAAATGCTCATAAGAAAATATGTTGTCTATTTGAAATAAATTTTAATCACAGTTTATGAGCTTATTTCCCTAGACACTTCTTGAACCAGAAGAAATTCAAACATCCAAGGGAAGTAAGTGCTGCTAAAAATTGAAAAAGTGTTGAACCCGAGATTCTAATCAGAGAGAGAGAGAGACCTCAAAGAGCCAGCTCCGATGCAAACACACGAGGGTCTTTATTCAGGCTCGAGTCTGGGCTCACACATGAAGCCCGTAGAAGCTTCATGAACCAGAGCCCCGATTCACAATGGCAAGCAGTTTTTATGCACAATTACAGAGGGAGGGGAAAGAACTTTAAACTTAATTTTACATGATTGGGTAATTTCTCCTAATGGGTACGGGCACACTTGGTATTGGTTGGTGCCTTTCGTGGGTTACCCGTGATTGACAGAAACCCACTTAACGGGCAGAGTGGAAGGTTAGATAAGTTAGATCCATACAGTCACTGCGTATACAGTAACCTGAGCCGGCAGGTAAAAGGTTACATTTAGCCCTTTAAGTTTACTAATCCACCCCAAGGTATGCTTAGAAAAGCTTGTTTGCTTAACATTTACATAACATAACATGGTCATTATGGGATAACAAAAGCCAAACTTAACATAGTTTTAAATATGAATGCTGCAAACACATACAGTGAATGCGGGGTAGAAATTCATATACTAATTCTGGGAATTTATAAAATATCACAAATGTCTTATAGCAAGGCGGTTTTTGTAAAGGTCTCTGATTCTCTCAAGTTTACATAGCCACTGCGGGTAAATTAACACTGGGATGAAAACCGGTGATATAGCAGTTGGCGCCTCAGAGTCTGCTTCGATCTCGTAGGAATGTCTGAAAGGGGCTTATCGCTTTATCATTTATATCCCGTTGTAAAAGCAGAAGTTAGCCTGGTAATTGGGGCTGACAATGCTTAAGTCAAGAGTTCTAAATACAAACACCACTTAAGCCATTACACAATTGGTCATTACCCGTACCGACATATGCCTAAATCTACGGGGTCTGAGGTAGGATTTAAAGTACTAAGATTTCATTTGAGGTAGAATTTAAAGTACTAAGATTTCATAAAATACATGAGGTAGGAATACACAAAATATATAGTAAACATGAGGTAGGGATATATGAAATATAGTGAACTAAACACTACTTTTACAGCAAGTATGGCTTTTTAAGTTTCCTGGTTTCTTGGGTCTCTCAATAGCATGCTCTTAACCTAAGTCTATTTTTGTCCTCTCAAAAGGAAGAACCCAATCAGCGACTGTAAAAAAAAAAAAAAAAAAAAAAAAAGGAGGTGGGGGGACCCTAGCCTGAATAAAGACCCTTGTGTGTTTGCATCAGAGCTGGCTCTTTGGTGGCCTCTCGGATTTTGAATTTTGGGTTTAACAAACGATGACTCACTCCAGCTCCAGAATCCCATATGATTATTGTGATTGATATTGTTTCCTGCTGTGTACTCCAATTAAAAACAAAAAACCCAAGGTATCCCTAGAGTGGGAGGAAAGTCTGAATGCAGGATTTGCTGTAACATCTCGCTGTAAATTCTTTTGGGGCAGGTGGGAGAAGGGATTTGTGAAGCGTTTCTAAGTGTTGAGTTGATCACTGTAATCTGTGCTTAGTCTTCAACTGTGCATGTTGAAACAGCTCTCTTTGGGTACGTCTTGGGAAAAGTCAACTAAAGACCTTCTCTCCTCAATTCTTTTATCACTTACTTACAACGTCTCCTTGGATGCCATCCTTTCCAGTACCACCAGCCACACAAACACCGTGGCTCTGGCGTGGAGGGAAAAATCCAAGCAGCATCTCAAGACGACAGCCTTCAGCATTACCCAGGGCATCCACGCTTTTGATTACCACTCTCAGCTCAATCTAATCGGTATGTAAAGTAAATCATGATCACGACCAGGGTCTCAGGAACAGCCAGCGTGCGTATCAGTATGCACAGAGCCGCTTCACCCTGCTGCTTTACGGCGGGAGAGGCTGGCTGGAGCAGCTCACATCTTGTTGCCCGAGAATGTCTGATCAGGAAGCATTATGCTGTGCAGTGCAGGCGAGCCACACTGGGTGGGAATGTGAGAAGGCGCCCCCATGCCTTAATGAGCCTTTTCATTGGAATTGGTGGAGGGGGTAGGATGATGGAGAGAAGGAAGACACTTTGTGAGGCATCTGCCAGTCTGTCAGGCATCTTCCTGACACTACTAGATGCTCCACCCAGACAAACGTGTGGTTTTCATTGCAGCTGATGCTGTGACTTCTACCACCATCATCACCACCACTAGACACACACACACATACACACACACCCCAGAGAGATCTGCAAAGGGCACGCTGCTTTCAGTGACCTTTAAGGATATAATCTCTAAATATTTTTGAAAACTTTCAGATGACTTTAGTTTTCTAGAGGAGGGTTTTATTTAATGTAAAAAAGCACATGTTAGCTGAGGAACTATAAAGGGTGTCAGGCATCAACTATTTAAATTGAAAATTTAGACATTCTGAAAGCTGATAATGTGACATACATATATGATATCAGTTCAAACATTGTAAGAAGGAGGTTTGGATGTATTCCTGAATAAGTCATAGGGCTGTTACAGAGAACACACGTGGCCCACAGAATGCGTCATGCTAACCCTCACTAAATAGTCGTCAGTCACGTAAAGAGTACTGATGTTAGCTAAAGGTCTGGGCCCATGAAATTCCCAACAGACATGGCCAGCCATCATGGTAACAGATCCCTTGAGTATGGACTCAGGAATCTGCCAACATGGAACTCCCAAGGAGGGCTGGAGGTGCATTAGAGAAGGCAAGAAGGCAAGGCAAGGGGAGTTGGTGAGCCAATTTGGCAAGGACTCCAATATCAACCATCTCATTGATTGACTGATTACATCAATCCTGTGTAATGATCGCTACTCTGTAGCTGCTGCAGTGCTGAAAAAATAAGAGTGAATGAGTGCAACTCCACAGTGGTCCCTAAACTGGAGAATAGCAAAGAATGTTGTGTGGAGTTTCCACAGACCTGAGGGAACACTGTCCTTCCTGCTCTTGAAGAGCTCCCCAAATATAACCAATTCATGTTAAAAAAAAAAAAACCAAGAAAAACTCATTCTATCCATAAGGTAGGGAAAAAGTGTATCTGTGCTGCATGTTTGCTTGTGCATACAGTCAGGCATCGCTTAACAATGGGATACCTTCTGAGAAATGCATTGTTAGGTGTTTTGTCCTCATGTAGACATCACAGACCCTCACATACCTAGATGGTGAAGCCTAGGCAGAGCCTATTAATTGCCCAGAGGCTGTAAACCGAGACAGCAAGCCACTGTACTCAATGCCACAGGCAAATGTAACAAGATTGTATTTGTATATCTAAACACACACACACAAACAAAATATAAACATAGAGAGGGCACAGTATAAATACATGTTATAATTTCATGGGCCCGCCATTGTTCATGAAGCCTGTTGTTGGCTAAATGTTACATATTATGCAGTGCATGACTGTATTTGAGTATTTACATGGCAGCGAAAATGTTTCTTTATACCTTTCAACCAATGTGTGAACTTTCAATGTTTTTTTAGTTCTTTCTCACTTCTGGGATGACTTTGGTCCTGTCTACATTTCTAAGGTGTGCTGGCTGGAGAGAGGAAGAAGGCTTCTCTTTCTTCTTGGTTGGCTGCTGGTGGGCTCTTCAATGGGGCTATATTTTTCCTTCCATCACACGCAAACCCTTGCCTTCTACTGTTTATGCTGACAGAACCCGTGTCCTCTTAGCCCAGTCTCCTTAGACACTGACAAGATTTTCCTACCTTCAAGACAGAGTGAATTTATGTTCATCAGATGGCATTATACCAACCTATAGATATGGGATAAACTCATTTCAAAATGAAAATGCCGCCGGGCTCGGTGGCTCAGCCTGTAATCCCACGCCTTTGGGAGGCTGAGGGGAGTGGATTGCCTGAGCCTGTGGGTTCGAGACCCACCTGGGCAGCGAGACCTCATCTCTACAATAAAGAAAGAAATCAGCCGGGCGTGGTAGCGCATACCTGGAATTCGGGCTACTCGAAAGGCTGAGGCGGAAGGATCGCCAGAGCCCAGCAGGTCAAGGCTGCGGTGGCTGGGAGCGGCCGCTGCACTCCAGTCTGGGCGACAGAGTGAGACTCCAGCTCAAAAAAAAAAAAAGAAAAAGAAAATGCCGGGGACTATTTATGGTATTAAAAACATTTTTTCTTTCTAACTCCGATGAGCAACTGCTGGCATTGACAATAAAGTTTGCCTTTGGAACCCATATGTTGTCCCTAAACCAGTTGGCATCCTGCGGGGTCACTCGGCCATGTACTGGCAGTCCAGTTCTTTGCTGAAAGAAAACAACTTTTCAGCTTCTCCAAAGATAAAGTAAGTAACATCGTGTATTTACCTTATTTAGTTTCGCTTCCACAGTTCCTGTCCAAATCTACCCCGAGATCTGAGTTTCTCTGAGAGATGGTATCAATTTTTAAAAGATACTGGCTAGCTACTGTGGTTTTGGAAATCTGTATTTCGTAAAGATGTTGGTTGATGGTTCCTTAACAAGAGTCCTAGGCAACCGGGCAATGTATTCCATTAAAGTTTTTCAAACCATGTAGTCATGGACTTAATCCCTAGTGAGCTCTTAATACAGCTCATCTTAAGAGCTTCCACTGGTCTCACAAATTCAACAGAAAAAACAGAAATAGAAACAAGGAAATGTTTCCTTGGTAAGAAATGAATAGGCATGACCAATGAGCTATGATTGCTTTGATATTGAAGAAACAGTCAGTTATAAAATGAAGTTAATCTGAAGAATATCAGGTACATTAAGAACATTTCAGTTCATACTATTTTATGATGTTGGTGGGATAGTTTAAAAATGGTGGGAAAAACATGGTATCAAGGCCTGATAATCCAGGGTGAGTCCTGGTCACACGATTTGTTACTTATATCCACTTGGGCAAATTTCTTAATCTCTAAGAGTCTTGTCTTTTGTTCCTCAGTAAAACTTCAGTTTGACATAATGCCTGACTTAAAGATCCAGTTAACACATGGTGGATTTCCAGATATTTGTGAAGAAAAGAGTGGATAAAAAGTTGATTGGGGCCGGGCTCGGTGGCTCAGCCTGTAATCCCACGCCTTTGGGAGGCTGAGGTGAGTGAATTGCCTGAGCCCGCGGGTTCGAGACCCGCCTGGGCAGCGAGACCTCATCTCTACAATAAATCAAAAAATCAGCCGGGCGTGGTAGCGCATGCCTGTAATTCCGGCTACTTGGAAGGCTGAGGTGGAAGGATCGCCGGAGCCCAGCAGGTCGAGGCTGCGGTGAAT